CAGGGAAAGAGAAGGAAATGAAAGGGAAAAAAGGAAAGGATGAGTAATAGAAAAATGAAAAACAGCCGAAGAAACTGCATAGATCACTACACATAACATTGGAATTATTAACACAGTGTGTGTGTGTGTGTGTGTGTGTGTGTGTGTGTGTGTGTGTGTGTGTGTGTTAAGCAAAATACAAACTGTTGGAAGAAAAAATAAAGGAGTGTTTGACCAGCAGGGATCCGTGTTGTTATAAGTTCTAATCAGAGCAGAAGCCATTTTTGTGTTTCCTTAAATAGCCTGGTTAAAGTCTCTGAAAAGAGGAACACCAGCTCAGACTCTCTGTGGCAGCGTTGAATCTCTGACATGGGGGTGCAATGATTCCATCTCTAAGCTGAAACTCACTTATCAGCTGCGGTTTGGAAACTGTGTACAGTCATTGTGGGGTGATGTCATGCTGTCAGCAGGATAGCTTGGAAACAGTCCACAAGGGGATTCCTTTTCACTGGAGGAAGTGAGCAGCATGGATGGGAGGTGATACCTGGGTGCCTTTGCCCTGAAAACGTGGAGATTGGAAGCAATTTTATGTCCACTGGGCAGAGGCCCACTGGTCTGCATCACAGTGGGCTTGATGGTGAGGTTCAGTGCTTCAGAGAGCCCATACAGAGGGCAAGGGCTTAGCTCAAGCTCCTTGTTTAGTCAACTAGTGTTTCCTTGACACTCATAATAGTGTCTGGCACATGTTGGACTCTTGGGAAACTTTTGTTGCATGAACAGGCAATACTCAGACCATGAGCAAAGAAGAAAGAACAGATAAATATGTGTTCAATTGCCAATAAGCCCAGGGCATTCTGGGTAACAACGGCACAACTCAGACTTAGTCACAGACTGTGGGGTCCCACTGCAAAATGGAGGCAGGGGAAAAACAGGAGTAAGAAAAGCAGGAACTGTGGGCCAACCCAAGGAGTTCTGAAAACCTTCATGGTCTTAGGCTAACTTGGGCTCGGCTTGGGCCGTTGGTCTGCTCTGGAAGGCAATGTGCAACCACAATCCTGTGGTTGGCTAGAATCTGAGCTAGGCTGATAGAGAGCAGCCCAGCCTAGAAGAATGCCACCAGCTGGAAGGAGAACAAGGAGGATTTGATCTCCTGACAAAAGCAACTTGACAAGAACTAAGCAGGGTGGGTGGGTTCCAATGCCAGCCAAGAGCTAGAGTGTGGTCCCATAGAACTCAGACCAAAGCCCAGACTTGCCGAGAATACATGAACAGTAGCTTGGGGAAGCTGTGTTTGATGGGTCTGTGCGGATGGCCCAGGCTTTCTAGGTCACTGTTGGTGCATCTGATTCCAAGGGTCACCAACTGGGGAGGTCTGATAGTGTGTGAAGGGTTTCCCCTCCACATATGGCACTTTCTCATAGCGTGATGAAACCCCTGACCAAAGCAACTTAAGGAGAACTAGTCTATTCCAGCTCACCATTCGGAGGTCCAGTCCCTCAGAGTGGCAATGGTGGCAAGAGTGAGAGCAGCTGGAGTTAGTAGCACGGTGTGAGGCAGCTGCCACTTGTGTCCAGAGGCAGGAAGGGGAGACTGAGTGCTGCTTCACTGCTAACTTAGGCTTTTTATCCAGGCCAAGACCCCAGTCTGTGGGATGGTGCTGTCTACATTCAGGGAGGATGTCTCAGAAAACACCCCCACAGACACATCTAAAACTGTGTTTCTACGGTGATTCTAAATGCCTTCAAGTTGACAGTGGAGATTAAGTTTCACACATGGTGACTTTCACCCCTCTGGGTAACTTATAGCTCATCCAATTATCCCAGTGGCTTTTGTTTTCTTGCTGATGTGTGATGGCAGGACTTTTTTTTTTATTTTAATTAACTACATTGACTAACACTATGTCTCTAGCACCAAGACTTGGCACATCATAGGGACATAGTCTGAATTAAGAAAAGAACTAGGGCCTCCCTGTGGAAGAGCATGTAGGGTAGGGTCTCATGTAGCCCAGGCTGGTCTTTGCTTGAACAGCTGATCTTCCTGCCTCTTCCTCCATGTGCTCCCACACATGGTGTTTTCCCATCAGTATTTTCTGTCAAAGAAGAGCACAGCTAGGACAGTATGAGGTTCAGAAATGGAAGAGTGTGGGAGGCCAGCTCCCACCTTTTCAGGGGTTCTTATGAAGAGGAGAGAGGGGTAAGAAAATATTAGGTAGAAAAATAGTGAAGAGGAGAACGACAGAAACACAGGCTATCTTTGGGAGGACCTAGGTCAATACTGAATGGCCTTTTCTGTTTATTCAAAAGGGCTTTTTATAACAACATCAAGGGCAGGGCAAAAGACCTCCCCCTTGCTAGATCAAAGGTCACTGCACAGCCAAGTGTAGACCCTTCCAAACACCTGGTAACCATGCACGTAGTCAAATCATCCCATTATGCAGCCCTTCTGGGTAAAGCAAGCTCAGGTTCTTGGACTCTGAGTAAGTTCTCACTAGGAAACCTCTGTAGGTCTCTATAACTCCCACTTCTTAAAATTTTAAAGAGCCCCGCAGACCCCTCAGACTGTGTCTGTCTTAGGTTGTCTTCTTCTCCTCTAATTAGCCTTACCTGTCATGGAGATAAACTTTCCATCAAGTGTACTCTGTTTTAGGTTGGCAGCTAGCAAGAAGGACTTACCTGTTTCTGACTACCAGCCTCTGGCAGGTGAAAGTACAGAGCTTGACCTTATGCAGCTCTGACTCAGGTCCCTAAGAACTTGCGAGTAGCTGGAACAACCACAGCAATATTCCTGCTTCCTAGGGCTGCCACAACTCCCAGTAAAGGAATAGAGGATGACCAAGATGGAATGTCCTTTTTGAAGGGGTCTAAGATGTCTATAGCAGTCTTAGCTGCACCAAGCCCTTTTTTTAAATCAATAAACTCTTGGTGTAACCACATTAAATAAATCAGTAAACTCCTGATGCAACTGCATCAAATCTAAAGACTCCCTTGGCTTCACCAAACCATGGTTCATTAATATCAATAAGTTAACATAATTCTAGCATGAATATTACTATACATATTTACAATTCTTACAAACTAACATCCAAAAGTAGGCTCTCAATAGAACTATTTACACTTTACAAACTTTAGCAAACATTCAAAAGTGATCTCTTAACAGAACCATTTACATTTTATTCTAACAAGACAGAGGGTACATGAATTGTGAGTCACCATAGTTAAAATTGTAGGTGAAGTCAAAACTGTTTCATTTCTGAAGTTTGAAGTTCAAAGTCAGTTCTGAGACCAGTTTTAAAGTTCCCCTGAAAGTTTGAAATCAGAGCCTAACTCATCAGCAGCTCTGGAGTCTTTGTATAGTGGTCCCATTACCAAAACTTGTTGCAGTGCAGCAACCCAGTCCAAATGAGTCTCTGCATTTTCTGGTAGCCTTCTCTAGGAAAGCTGCCCTAGGACAAAGGTGGAATTACTGAACTGAACTGCTGTAGAACTCTTTGACAAGCTTTCTGCTCAGCTAGTAAGAATCAGGAAACCATCTCTTAAAGGAGCCACACATTGGTTTGCCACTAGCAACCAGAAGCAGTGTAGCTCCGGGCTCCATTTACATGCAATCACACTATATTACCCTGGGTGTCTAGCTGTTCAATTACTGGGAGCATTTGAAATCCTTGCACCTCCTCCCCTCTGCTAGCTGCTTCTCTAATACTGGCTTGAAGGGGAGACACAGGGCTAGCAGCAAGGGTTTGCCATACTCCAGGAGGCTTTTGTGCCAGGGCAATTATGTGCAAGTTTTCCATTCTGATACATGACCTCCCAGGTGACTCTAATTCTGCCCAACAGAAGGAAGGTGAGTACCCTTCTGAGAAGAGACCTGAAGAGTCTCCAATTTTTGAGAAAGAGAAATTTCTAAGTCTCTCAAGCCCTTCAGTTCTTCCCTTGTCTCATACCAAGACTTCTGTTCCTTAAACTCAGCTTCTTGGCCAAGAGGGGACTGACCTTGATTGAATGATTTTGTAAAAGTGTCCCCATCTAGTGGCAGCTCCAGTGGATTGGAGGGTTTTATTGTGCTCATGTCTACCTCAGGGAAAATTCCCCCTGCCACTTAGGACTCAGATCCAAACTGCCCCAAATAAGTGCCCACAAGCCAAAAGCTTCCACTGGGATCTTTTCTGGCCCTTGCTCCTCATAATGTTGAATTTCAACTCCAATTCTCCCCCATGAGTGTGCATTCAGGGTTCCATAGTCAGAAAACCAAGAACACAGCTCCTCTACAAACTCTAAGAACCTCTGTACTTGTTGCTACTCTACCTTAACTCCCTATTTTTCAAACTCTCTACAAGTGAATATTCAAACATCTATCTACTATTTCCCTGCCCCATATTGGCTTCTCTTTCTCAGACTGCTAAGTCTGCAGTGACTGCTCAGTCCTGGACACTTCTTTCTGTGCACCAGGTCTGGCACTAGGGAAATTCTACTCCTACCCTAAATTTCTTCCTATTAAGCCTACACAATATCCCTATACCTAAATATTATATTTTTACCTAATTTAGTAAATAGAAGTTGAGAGAGAAAAAACAGAGAGACAGATACTTGCTGCAGCTTAACTTTTACTACTTGCTTTGGCTTAACTTTTAGCCATTCTGCTTTATCTATATACAGTTTTACTCCTGAAGAACAGAAAACCACCGTCTAATCCTTAATTCATAACTGGACGTGTCCAACTGTCTCCGCAGTGCCCACTTCTCATTCTTACTTATTTCCTCTGTATCCAAGTCCCTGTTCAGGTGCCATCTGTGAAAGGCCAGCTCCCACCTTTTCCAGGGTTCCTATGAGGAGGAGAGAGGGATAAGAAAATATTAGATAGAAGGATAGTGAAGAGGAGAAAGAGAGAAACACAGGCTAGCTTCAGAAGGGCCTGGATCAAAACCCAATGACCTCGAAGTTTATTCAAAAGGCTTTTTATAACATGCGAAGGGGAGAAGCAAAAGACCCTTGTTAGATCAAAGCACACTGCACCACCAACTGTAGACCCTTCCAAACACCTGGTAGCCACACGTATGGTCAAATTATCCCCTTATGCAGCCCTACTAGGTAAAGCAAGCTCAGATTCTTTGACCCTGAGTAAGTTCTCACTAGGAAACCTCTGTGGGTCTCTACAGAAGAACAAACAGTAGGAAAAAGAAAGGGGAGGAAGAAATGTTTAGACTCCTTACCAATTGGGCCAGGACTGGGTTTGGGTTGGTTACTCCCAGTTACTGCCATACTCTGACCACTCCTGACTTACCTCTGCTCTTTCAAGCACTGCCTCAGAGAACACTCCAGGACAGAGACCCCACCCACCTCATGCCGTCTTTGTTCTGACCTGACTTCTGCAGTGTGCCTGCTGCAGAAGCTAATCCCCTCAGACTCCCTGCACCCAACCCCACCATGAGCACTGCCAGGTCCCACAGACAACTGCCCCCTAAGTCCCACTCAGTACCTGTGGCTCCTTCCAGCACTTCTCACCCTGGCCCCAACCCTAAAGCTCTCCTGACAGGGACTGGAGTTCACTTCCCCTCCCCCAGATTCTGATTCCTATGTAACTCAGCCATTTTGGCTACCCACCCTCTTGGGTCCCATGAGCTCTCTCAGTCCTCTTGGCCCCTCTCGCATCTCTCTTCTCTTCCTCTTTCTTGCTCTCCTCCCCTTTCTCTCCTCTCAAAGCTGGGTTCAGTCTAAACTCTTCCAGATGACTCTGGCTGTGCTCTCACTCATACCTACAATAAAATCTTTCTCCTCGACTATACCTGGGAGCAGCCCTGTCCTCACTTACATTCAAGCACCAAACAAGAACTGTGTGTGTGTGTGTGTGTGTGTGTGTGTGTGTGTGTGTGTGTGTGTGAACGAATAGCAAGAACTCCACAAATAGAATGTTAAACAGGACCAAACCTTACTCAGTGGGAACTTGTAAATGGTCCTAAGAAATAGCAAAGAACACAAATTGTTTATAGATGGGCCAATGAGTGATATCATCACCTCTAAAGGAACTTGATGTTTTGGGAAAAAGCAAAAACAATTTCACCAAATAGTTGTGAGAAGTGGTGGAAACCTATCTAGAATGTCAAATTCTTTGCCTTGTTTCTCACAACAGATAAAAATAAGGAATTTTAAGTGTAACCTAAAAGTGGGGAAGGAAACCCAAGCAACAGACCAAGCAAATACTTGTAACTAGGAGAGTGACTTCTGGAAAGACGGTCTGTGGTGACATGGAAGGAGTCCAATGGTCATGTCCCCTGAGGTGTTTGTCTCTCAGAAGGGAAGTTTTTCACTTTTTCTTCAAACACCTTGGTCTGGCGAGGTCAGCTGCACCCTAGAATCCAGATGGAAAGCAAACAGGTGGAGATACAGGTGGAGGATTCACCAGGTGGGCCCCCAGCAGAGTCCACTAAAATACAGGTGGAGCATTCACCAGGTGGGGCCCCCAGAAGAGTCCACTGAGATACAGGTGGA